ATTAGAACATTAGCCAAGGATATAAGCTTCTTTTGAGAATAGGACTTCATATTCTTTGAACGTCCAGAAAGATTACCTCATCATCATCGCCATCTTCCTCATCCTCATCAGATTTTGCCATTAGGGAAAAATAGAGTCATACTCAGCCGCTTCACTTTCTAGTGCCATCATGGAGCTATCACCTTGCCCATCATCTTCTCCAGATTCGCTGGAAGAGTCTCCCCATGCAGCAAGAGCCTGTTTCACAATATTGTCAGCGACATCTTTTCTCTTGAATCTTTTGTTAGGAACAGGTTCCTCTTGGTTGCTTTGTCTGTGTTGTGTTTGTACTGGTCTTGCTTGAGGAGAGGGAAATCCTTGATGAAATGTCCTGGCTTCCCGCACTTATGACATAAGTCATAGCCTCTTGGCTTGCAGGAGCTGCCCCTCTTTGGAATACCTCCATTTCTGTGCACCGTTTTCTTAAATCTTTTTGTCAGGTAGGCCATATCAACATCTTCACCACTTGAGTCGTTGTTGTCTATCTTGAGGACCAAGTTCTTCTCTCTTTTGGGCTCTTCTCTCATGATCCTTCTTCTTCATTCCATAAGTTTTTAGATTGCCAATGAGTTCATCAATAGTCAGCTTTTGCAAATCCTTTGTCTCCGTGATGGCATTTACTTTGCTTTCCCAAGAACCAGGTAATACACTGAGTATTTTCCTAACAAGTTTGTTCCTTAGAATAATCTCTCCCAGATAATGAAGCTCATTGATGATAGAGGTGAAGCGAGTGTGCGTGTCCTGAATGGACTCATCATCCTAAAGAGTTCATATTCAGTGGTTAGCATATCAATCTTTGACTGCTTGACTTGAGTTGTCCCTTCGTGTGCTGTTTGGATAGCTTCCCAGATTTCTTTGGCAGATTGACAAGCAGCAATCCTGTTGTTTTCGTCTGGTCCAATGCCACAGAGGAGGATCTTTTTGGCTCGAAAGTTCTTCTCTATAGCCTTGCGGTCAGCATCGTTGTATTCCTTTCATGTTTTGGGAATTGTCACTGGTGGTTCACCATTGGTCTTCATAGGAATGAAAGGACCATCACAGATAACATCTCAGATCTCTGAATCTTCAGCCATGATGAAATCGTGCATCCTTGTCTTCTACCATCCATAGTATTGTCCATTGAACCTTGGTGGAGCAGCCATTAGGATCCTTTCTAGGTGTTAGCATGATAGAAAGAACCTGCTTTGATATCAATTGATAGAAACTAAGGGTCCACCAAACTATATAGAGAACCAGGTTTTCTATTTGTTCCCACAGAACACACACACACACACAGCAGTAAGAAAATAAAACAATAGAGTTTTACGTGAAAAACTCCCAGCTCACGGGATTAAAAACCACGACCTACACTCGTAGGATTTTAACTTCACTGCTGAGCAAACTTCAGATTACAAACTATTGTAACCTAGGAATTAAACTCGTAATCCCTCACTAACTTGTAATAACTCTATTACAAGCCCCTTTGTAATAACTCTATTACAAAGCTTACAACTCGACTAACTCTAGCCAAGATACAAACACAAGATTTATGATTTTACAAACGGTTTCCTACACACTGCTTCTTAACTAAGCAAAGTAGGAATTACAAGTAAATCACTTTAACAAAGGTGCAACACAACTAAGGACATGTAATGACTCAATGCAGTAAGCTGGTCCTTCGTTATGTTGTTCTTTGTTCTTGAAACCTTGAGAGTCACTTGCAAGATTGCGACACACTTGAGAGAAATCTTGATCGATTCTGGAATGTGAAAGTGACTTGTTTTTGCTTTGCTTCATGTTAATATTACCCAAGTGATGTCACTTGGATGATGCAAGTGTATTTGGTACAAAGGCATTCCCCATAAAGTGACTGCTATACTGTTGGCCTTGTTGCGTGCGTGCAGAGGAACAATTGCAGCAACTTTACAGCTGTGGGGAGTTGACTTAGTACAATTAGCAAGGGAACTGATGTCCATATGTTCCCTCTGTCGTTTCTTTGACTCTGAATTGTTGAAACATGTCCTCGACTTGAGACTTGTTGTTCTTGAGCACTTAAGGATGTGGAAGACGTTCACAATCGGGTTCTTAACATTAAGTTTGTTAGATTATCAAAACATAACAGGACACATAACCTATCATATATTTGTTGCCACGAGCGATGATCTTGAATACAACTAGCACAAACTTTAATTTGAACTCGTACTCCTTGTATCTTGATTTGTTCTTCATTCTTGAGCTTGAAATTGATTTCTTGAACTTGAACTTGATTGCTTGAAGCTTGAAACTTGTGAAGGAATTTGCAGCCGCTTGATCCGCGAGCTCTTTCTTGCTTTTTGTTATAACTTCTAGACTTCTAGTGTCTTTTCTGGGTTATGAAGACCCCTATTTATAGTTGTGGGAGGGAAGAGTTGTGATGAGAATAAACTCTTTCCGACCAATCAGATTGAAGAGTGACAATGCCACATTTGATTGGCCAAAACATGCCACTTGCACATGTGGCGCAGGTTTATTGGCCTTTTAATTTGACTTGGCATTCCTTGTCATTTGGACACGTGGCATGATACCATTGACTTTTTCGTGTGACTTGGTGTGCCACGTTATTTGACGCGTGGCACCAAACTGGACCTCTAGGAAGATGACATTTTGAGCTTAATGAAGTGGGATCATCACTTGTAGCCCCGATAAAATGGGCTAGCCCAATAATTTACAATCATTTATTAAATCCATACATATTGGACTAATCCAATTATATTAGCCCAATTAAATTTGTTTAAACTAATATATCTTTGAATATAGTCAAAAATTATTTTATGCATTCAATTTCAATAAAATTTATATGCCAACACGAACATAAGACTTTAGGTAGAAAGGATTTTTATATAATCGTATAAGCTATATTCAATTGTATTAAATATCATCATTAGATTGTTAGAAAGAAATGGATTAATCTTTTTAAATTTTTTGGCTGATAGATGGATCATAATTCATATGTATATAGTTAAATTTATTATGTTCACGGCTTAAGTGTTGGCTTCAGCTTTTAAAATTGAATAGCCGGCCACCGGTAATAAGTTTGTTTATCATTTATCGAATTAAAATACATAAAAACAACAACAACAACCAACCCAGTATGTTCCCACTGGGTGGGGTCTGGGAAGGGTAGTCTGTACGCAGACCTTACTCCTACCTAACAGGTAGAGAGGCTGTTTCCAATAGACCCTCGGCTCAGGAAGGGTAATAAGAAGAAGTGGACAGCAAGAAAGGAAGAAAGAGGGAAGAAAAAATAAAAGGGGAGAGATAAAGGATAAGTAGTACCAAATACTAGCAACAAGGGATACAATACCTGAGGCGAACAAAACCACATAACGTAATAAAGGGGACATGCGTGCTACTAAGACTATCGGTGAGCAACTAAAAACAACCCACTAACCTTCTACCTTAATCCTCGACCTCCACACCTTCCTATCAAGGGTCATGTCCTCAGTAAGCTGAAGCAGCGCCATGTCCAGTCTAATCACCTCTCTCCAGTACTTCTTAGGCCTACCTCGACCTCTTCTCAAACTCGCCATGGCCAACCTCTCACAACTCCTAACAGGGGCATCAATGCTTCTTTTCTTAACATGTCTAAACCATCTCAGCCTCGACTCCCGCATCTTGTCCTCCACGGAAGCTACTCCCACTCTGTCTCGGATAAGTTCATTCTTAATCTTATGTCTCCTGGTACACCCACACATCCATCTCAACATCCTCATCTCTGCTACTTTCATCTTCTGCACGTGGGAGTTCTTGACTGGCCAACACTCAGCCCCATACAGCATAGTCGGTTGAACCACCACTCTATAAAACTTGCCCTTATATCTTGGCGGCACGTTCTTATCACAAAAAACACCGGAAGCGATCCTCCTCTTCATCCATCCCGCTCCGATGCGATGTGCGACATCTTCATCAATCTCCCCGTTACCTTGGAAATAGACCCGAGATACTTAAAGCTCGCTTTCTTGGGGATAACTTGAGCATCAAGCTTTACCTCTACGTCTGCTTCATGGGTCCCGTCACAGAATTTGCACTCCAAGTATTCTGTTTTGGTTCTACTCAATTTGAAACCTTTAGACTCCAAGGTCTGTCTCCAAACCTCCAACCTCGCGTTAACTCCGCTTCGCATCTCTTCAATCAACACTATATCATTGGCAAATAGCATGCACCAAGGCACCTCCCCTTGGATGTGTCGCTACAGTACATCCATCACTAAGGCTAATAAAACGGGCTAAGAGTCGATCCCTGGTGCAACCCCATCACCACTGGGAAATGCTCCGAGTCACTACCCACAGTCCTCACCCGAGTTTTAGCATCTTCATACATATCCTTAATCACCCTAATGTACGCTACCGGAACACCACTAGCCTCTAAATACCTCCACAGGATCTCCCTCGGGACTTTATCGTACGCTTTCTCAAGGTCAATAAACACCAAATGCAAGTCCTTCTTCCTCTCCCTGTACGGCTCCACTAATCTCCTAACCAGATGAATCGCTTCCATAGTCGAACGTCCCGGCATGAATCCAAACTGATTCTCGGAAATAGACACACACCTCCTCACCCTGGCCTCCACCAGCCTCTCCCAAACCTTCATAGTGTGACTCAAGAGCTTGATACCCCTATAATTGTTGCAATTTTGGATATCACCCTTGTTCTTGTAAAGCGGAACTATCGTACTCCACCTCTATTCTTCGGGCATCTTCTTCGTCTTAAAAATAACATTAAACAGCCTAGTGAGCCACTCCAAACTTGCTCTCCCCGTGCTCTTCGAGAACTCCACCGGGATTTCGTCTGGTCCCTACACATCTTACGCATCGCCCCTTCCACCTCCTCTAATGTAATCTGCCTACAGTACCCAAAATACCGCTGACTCTCGGAGTGCTCCAACTTACCCAGCACAATGCGTCCATCCCTCTCCTCGTTCAACAGTTTATCGAAGTATGTCTGCTATCTTCCCCTAATAAGTGCCTCGTCCATCAATACTTTTCCATCCTCGTCCTTGATGTACTTGACTTGGTCTAAGTCACGGGCCTTCCTCTCCCTCACCTTGGCCAACCAGTACAGCTTCTTGTCCCTGCCTTTGCCCCCGAACTCCTCGTACAAACGAGCAAACGCCGCATTTTTAGCCGTCGTAACTGCTAACTTTGCCTCTTTCTTTGCCTTTCTGTAACACTCCCGATAAGTCCTTTTTTCCTCTTCGTTTGTACTCTCTACTAGCTTCAAATAAGCAGCTTTCTTAGTTTCCACTTTACCTTGGACCTCTCCATTCCACCACCAGTCCCCTCTATGACCCCCGAGAGAGCCCTTCGTGGCCCGTAAGACCTCTCTAGAAGCTACCCTAATGCAATTCGCAGTCGTGAACCACATACTAGATGCGTCACCCTACTCATCCAGGCCTCCATAGCCAACAACTTCTCCCCTAACTCCTAAGCTTTGTCCTTGGTCAAGTTACCCCACTTCATCTTAGGTTGCCTGCACACCGCCCTCTTCCTCCTACTCCTCTTGATCTCCAGGTCCATAACTAGGAGCCTATGTAGGGTCGTGAGGTGCTCACTTGGGATGACCTTGTAATCAGTGCACAGACTTTATCACATTTCCTGTAGAGAAGATAATCAATCAGAGTCTTACCCATTGAATTCCGAAAAGTTACCAGGTGCTCTTCCCTCTTCGGAATACTCGAGTTAGCTATAATCAAATCAAAATCCCTAGCAAAATCCAACAGTGAATTACCTCCCTCATTCCTATCCCCAAAACCGAACCCGCCATGCACATCATCACAACCCCTAGCACTAGCCCCAATATGGCCATTGAAATCTCCGCCAATGAACAGCTTCTCTGTGTGCGAGATACTACGCACCATCTCATCCAAATCCTCTCAGAATCGCTTCTTGACCTCCTGGTCCAAACCTACGTGAGGAGCGTATGCACTAATCACGTTTACAGTAAACCCACTAACTACAAGCTTAATACTCATCAACCTATCATTTACACTCCTAACCTCGACCACGAGCTCCCTGAGGTCCCTGTCTACTAAATTCCTACCCCATTCTTACCCCCAACGCTTCCTGAGTACCATAGTTTAAACCCGTCTACATCCCGTGCCCTAGTACCCTTCCATCTAGTCTCCTGAACACACGCTATATTGATCTTCCTCTTCTGAAAAATCTTAACTAACTCTATAGACTTCCCCGTCAATGACCCAATGTTCCAAGACCTAACTCTCAGCCTAGAGACTTTCTTACCCCTCCCCCTCCCCTTCCCACCCCTGGATGCCACCCCCAGCCCCACCCGATGACATGACCTTACTCTCACATCGTACACTACCGCCACTATAAGCAAAAGATATCAGGTAAACACTACTACTAAGAACAAGTAGCGGGAACGAAGGACTACAAGCTAGGAACCCAAGAGCTAAAAATAACTCAAGGCGCTACTATGAGAACAGTAACGCGAGCAGGCACTAGAACAGTGAATATACCACGTCTAAGAAACTACCCCAATACAAACAAGGAATTAAAAGGGATAGATGAAACCTTAAGCTTAAAACACTAGTAGAAAAGATAGAAAAACAAGCAAATACTATCTACCAAAAACAATCGATACAACTACGGGTTACCGGCAAGGCAACCAAAACTAATAGATGTGTACACAAACAAAAATTGATGGAAAGGCAACAGTAAATAGATGTGCACAAATACAATTCAAGAAAGATGGAACCTTAATTTATAAATTTAAAGGTTAAGTCCTTAGTGATTACGTTTTGTTCAAGTTAAACATGGAATTTCTCCAAATTATACTACAAAACTTGTGTTTGTGAAATATTTGTTTACCTCAAAAATTGTGAGCAACAATTAAAGATGATTTGTGGTTTTAAAGATATGTGATTTATTCTAATACTAGTGAATATACAAGTTATATTAAGTTAAAGTAGAAAAAATTGACGAACCAAATCAGTGTCAATAGAGCTACAGGGTCCTCGAGCTCGATTATCTCGGGGGCCTCGAGGTGAGTTAAGGGAAAAATAAAATAGGAACAGTAAAGTAAAGACAATAAAGCTGAAGAACAATTGTGGAGCACGGTAAACAAGAAAAGCAGAGTAGAATATTCTATTGCAGTGAGTCAGATGATTTTTACAAAGATTGGGGTCCCCTTTATATAGGAGGGGAAAACCCTCATATAGTACATTTCCAATTATGACAAAGAATTCTATTGGTACAGCTGTATAACAACCTAGTACGGACTTGTACCATTTCGTACAAATCTTATCCTATAACTTATACCCTGACCCACGTGTCCTTGAGAAATTCCCACTCTTTCTTGAGTGTCATCGAAATTGTACTGCCCTCAAGGTAGATCATGACGGGTCTTTGATTTGCTCCCGCGAGGTGTGCATTTTCCAGTCAGACCTGGTCTTTACTTCGTGCTACCCCGAACTTGAGCCCGGAGTTCCATTCAGACCTCGAAATTGAGCTCTCCGATTTTGGCCGTATACAGATAGTCCCCGCGTTTCTTAGAATGAAATGATATGAAACGTTTTGAATTCCTGAAATCCTTTATGATGGCATCATTCTTATGACGTGGACGTTGAAATGACCGAAGCGTCCCATCAGTTCTCTTCCCCAAAAGCATTAAATACGCGTCAGAGCCGGTCGGCCATCAATATTAATGAACTGTCGCCACCTTCCTCTATATATACTCGTTTTCTCTTCTTATTAAGGACTTTTCCATCTTGTAGCACATATTCTTTCCTATACGTTTCCTTTTCTACTTCCAGTTCCTCCGCCGCATCAGCTCAAAACCTCGCCGGCTTATTCATTTCTATCTTTTTCTTCTAAAGAACGGATGGCAAAAACTTCCAAATCCATTCCTCAGACGGAGGGAAACCCCACTTCCACTTCCCGCCCAACCGATGGTAAGTCGCCGGCGCTTCACGAGCTTGTACCGAGCAGATTTTCTTTACAAAAGGACTTTATAGTTGAGAACCCTCCCGACGTCCCCGGCCGTCGAGATCATGCATCGAGTTACATAAGGTCAATACAGGAAGGACACCTCGATGCTGTGAGGAGAGAGTGTAATTGGGAGGTGAAGGTCGTTCTGCAAATACCTTCTCGGGGGGAGGACATCACGACTTACGTAGAGGGGTTCCTGAGTGTGTATACATACCCCTTTACGTTGGGTCCCCTCGACCCGCTCGTGCTTAAATTTTGTCGAAGATATAAAGTGACCCTGGGCCAGATTCATCTGTCCTTTTGGCGCATCGTAATAATGATGAGGTTCTTCACCGAAAAAGCCGGGCTCGAGTTCACCCTCAGCCACCTCATCCTATTATATTGGCCTTAACATTTTTGGGGTTTAATCAAACTTCAACGGCGATCGACCAAGTCCTTCTTCGCCAGTAACGACGAAGGCAAGGATCGAGGTTGGATGAGCCGGTTCATCCGGGTAAGGACCGTTGATATTATTCCCCAGGAGTTCCTGTCGTTCCCCGAGGAATGGAATTTCGAACGTGGGTGGGATTCTTTTAGTTCTTTTCCATAGATTTTTGCTAATCTTCGGGTACTTATTCTTTTCACTTCTCTGCAGCAATTCCGTGGATGCCTAATGCGATCCTCGACCTTGAGGACTGGGTTCGCAAACTAGCTGCTACTTCTCCATACGACAAACGCATGGCGGGACTAGTCTAAGGGCAAGTGGGAAGCGAAACACCACGGTACGTGTCATAATGTTTCTTTCTTTATTAGGAATGTCTTTCTTCATGTGACCTGATTCCTTTATCGCGGGTATTGGTGAGTTCTTCAAAATGAGGCTGCCCCCTTCCGGGGAGGAAGCAGGGCCTTCAGCTCCAAAGCCAAAGGAGGATAACAAGAGAAAGAGGTCCTCGAAGAGAGAGGACACTAAAAGCCAAACAGAGCCCGCTCGGAGGCGTAGGAAAAGCGTTGTTATAAATGTGGATGTTGACTCGGCCTACCAGTTCACGGACGATGATGCTGATGAGATGGATGGCTCGATACTGGTGACTCGAACCAGGAAATCTTCCGAGATTGTCAAGTCTGCTGAGATCGGGGCCCCTAGCCCCGAAGAAGGAACCTTAAAAGAAAAGGGGGATGAAGGCCCCACATCATCTACGTGGCAACTGCTTCTCAGACTTCTGGAAATGCCGAGCTTCGAAGCTCCTCTGCCTGAACAGAGTGCCTCGGGTGATCTTCCCAAGGCCATGACAGCAGGTTTGCCTTCGTCGTTTCCGGTATTTTCCGAGGGTACCATCAGGGATGCTCAGAATATGAAGGCGTCCGAGCTCGGCGAAGTCCCGAGTGAGAATGACCCCTTCCAGGGTTACTTTGCCGGGGTTGATGAGGCCGACCTCGCGGATGCGAGCTCAATCTTCGAGGAGGCTCAGCGTCTCTGCTTAATTGTAAGTCTTTAGTGGCACTGATATTTCTCCAATGCCATACTTTTCTTCCTTTGTCTAATTGATCATTATTTTCCTTTGTGTAGGCCTTTGACAAATTGAAGACCGAATTGCATCACTGTGAAGTTGAATTACGTAGGGCTTCAAATGAGGAGAAGACCCTTAAGCTTCTCCTTGACAAAAAGGAGGAAGAACTGAAGCATCTTCGATCATAGTTGACCGAAGCTTGCGAATACGAGAGCGAGTTAGAAAAGCAGGTAACCTCTATTCTGAAAAAATACGAGCTACCTCTCCCGTCTTCGGAGGCTAATACTTCAATGTCTCAGCAGCAGCAAAAGCTAACATGATTGGGCAGCTCCGGGGTGAGGTCAATCAAGTCCGAGCCGAGTGCAATGAATGGAAGGCGAAGATGGACGCCCTCGTTGCAGCAAAATATGATGCACTGTTGAAGGTATCAGCCCTCGAGGTTCAACTTCGGAATGCTCAAGGGAGAAACTTGGTTCAAGCTGGCAGAATAGCCGAGCTCGAGGCTGGTTTTGCGAAGGCCAAGGCCGAAGTTGTGGAGGTCAGGGCCGAGGCCAAAGTAATACAAGCCAAGGCCGACAGGACGCTGGCCATCTATTTGAAGGATGCTGCCGATGCACAGATGGAGTTGAGGAAGGCTTCTGACCGAGAGAAAAGAAGCAATGAATATGTCCAGCACCGATCCCGAAGGGAGACCCTCGAAGAGATTAACACTAAGGGATTTGATCTTTCCGAGGAGATAAAGCAGGCTAAGGCAGATGAGGCCGATGCCAAATTTATCCTTTCCTCCGACGATGATGATGACGCCGTAGGGGGTGAAGAGGAGGGGGCTGCCGAAGAAGTTACTCCCGGGGAAGAGGCTGGTCCCGGGAAAGCGACAAGTCCGGGGGGGAATGCCCCTTTGTAGTAGGTAGAATTTTTTCTCTCTTTTTGTAATTTTTTGTTCTGTAGGACTCTCGTATAATATATTTTTGCATATATAAAAAGGAGTTTCTTTGATCATTTGCCTTCAATTTTTCTTCATCGATTGTTTAATTTTTGATGTTTTATCCTCTGAGCGTTGAATCAAATTTGGGGTAGAGTAGACCCTCAAATTTTGTATTTTGATCAACGATTTAAAATAAGTTACCACTTAAAGTTCGATCTTCAAGCTAAGTTTTAGCTCGGGACTTTTGAGTCCGAGCTGGGTAAGGTCTTTGAGCATGGTGTGCTTCGGCCTTAAAGCTCTTTAAATATTGGCCCTTAGGCTCTTTTAGGTTGGCGCTTAGGCTCTTTAGGTGGGGCCAACTCGGCCTCTAAAATGGCAATAAACTTTTCCCTCTTTTCGGCTAAAAGACTTAGTGAAAATTTTGTATGCCTTAGCATGTGTTTTTTGTACCCGTTCAGGTTTTTCGAATGTTCGATTGACTGGAACCTTGTTTGTAATT